ATAATATAGGGCCTATGATATGCATAGGAAACCCAATTCTGAAAAATGTAAGTTTTGTATTTATTTACTCACCCTCATGTTGCTCCAGACCCATATATATGATGTACTTTCTTCTGTGGAACACAAAATATGTTTAGCAGAATGTCCAAGCTGCTCCTTTTCAATAAAAACGCCACTGGTTACGTGACTAACAACTGCCATGGTCCAGAACTGAAAAGGGTTCAGTAAATTACTTTCTGAAGGCATGTGTGAGGAACACACCGACATTTAAGTCTTAAAATCTCCTGAATCTCCTAGCGCGTTATTGTAAACACATATCAAACAAATTAGCTGTGAGCAAAGTGACATTTCTGATTAAACAAACTCTGATTTGAGATTTTGAATAACACTCATGACTGTTTTGATTCATCTCGGTGACTCGACTCCCTTTCGAATCTGTTCACTGAGGAAATTCGTTCAGAATCCTTCACTGATTCGTTAAGTGATTCCTTCTGCAGGTTATGTCGTTACGACAGTTGAGTTCAGTTGATTCACTAATGATATGATTCATTCAGAAAGCACTAACAAGCTTTCCAAAGAAATAAGTTAGCGAAAAAGACTTTTCCTGACCACAGGGGGAGACACAGCACGTTTAATTTTTCTCAAATATAAGTCTATATTTCTGTGTACTTTATGTTTTTTTGTTTTATATATTTTCTTGTTTAATTATTGTCCACAAGACTGCACAGACTAATAGAATGTATAATTATTATACATTAATAATATTATTTTGGTTTAATTTAGTTTTTACACATTTTTTATAAATTATTAGATGATGGCAAGCTTTTCTCTTTATTAGTCAAACTCATTTCACAGAATAACGAGTCAAACTGTGAAACTGAATGTTAAACTCATATTTGCATTTGTGATTGTGTTCCTCTGAGAATAGAGAAGATGTTGTTCCATCATGTACTGTATATGCAGGTGTTTTCATGGTCCACTGACTTAAGTTTATTTATAATACGTGAGCTAAACCCCTGATTCAATGAAAGACCTGAAACAAGAATGACAAAAAAGGGACACAGAGTGACAATTATATTTTATTTAATGACTGAATTTTAATCAAATCACACATATAGTCTTGTATGAAGCACACAAAGC